TTCAAACCCTCTGGTCAGTTCTAACATGAAATCGGAAGGAAAAGGGGTTTTAGGAAATATAGTTTCCAGTTTAAGCAAGTTGACGTAACATAATTCAGTACATACGACTACGCAAGGGTTTAGCTCTTTACCTTGGGAATTTATTTATCTGGAAAGTAGTAACCTACTAGCAGGTACAGAGTATTCTGTAGGCTGTGTTACACAGTTGAAGAAGAGTTTATGACATGGGGGAAACTAAAAAGTTTCTTCAAAAGAGGTTTAGATACTGAAGCATTCTTAGAGCATATAAAATTAAACATTTAATTTACAAACCTTGCTTTAGATGAGTTTCTTAGAGGTAAAGTAGCAAATGAATTTTTTTGTACATTGAACATTTTCTTAATAACAAGTCACAGTACAAGTATATGATCATTTCCAGTTGGTTTTTGGCTGACATGGGTGTACAATTTTTTATTTTAGTTTCTTGAGTTGTATTAGCATGGTGTCATCAAGGTCATAAGATGGTGAGATAATCAAGGTCCTTGCAAACTAATTCTATCATGAAGTCCATGTAATTCTAAGGCAAGATAGGACAAATGTACTTCCTGTGCTTGTGAAAGTCCACTGCGTCTGGTATTAGCTGGTTATTGGGTAGGGAAGAGCATGTTTGCTGTATCTGTCAGTACCCTGCTTCCCATGTGATGATTTGCTCCAATAACGAGATCATGTCTGGAACAGTAGCTATAATTAGAGCCACCACTATATTAAGTTTGTAATAATCCATGACATTTTCCAGGACCCATTTGTGTTCTGCTCAGTTTAAGTGGATAGGTTGCTCAATATATGTATCTAATTCACTCTGTATTCAGGAGCTAGGGAAGTAACACTGGGTGGGTTCAGAGACTTACTAGGCCTACCGGGGATGGACTAACTACCATAAACCAACTGACGCATCACAGTGATGTTCTGGGTCCTAAAGGATTAGCATTAACTAAGAGCTAACTCTAAAAAGATGAGGTCTTTCTTTTTCCCCACGGCACAATTACATGGCAAATGTTTACCTTTACTTTCTTTGGAGAAGACTAAGGAAAAAGAGTTATAGTATATACTTTTTATGTTATTGCAGGTTCTTCTTCAGTGGTATTGGCTTCTTCTTAATTTTTATTTAAGAGGCTCTGAGTCCGTGAAGTGACTCCAGTCTAGGAATTGAGTGAGAGAAACAGTCTTAACATGGAGACTCATGTCAGGTGTCTGGTCTCCAAACCTAGTTTTGTTTTTTCTTTTTTTAATGTTAAACAGATCGAGTTTGAACTTCATCAGCTGCCCATCTAATTTGGTCCTGAAGCTTCATGATTGTCAGTTACCACTTGAGATCCGTGCCATTCCAACCATTCTAATTATCACTCTCGCCGTGCTTATTGCAAATAACTATGTTTATGTTCCTTCCAGGTTCAGTGCTATCAGCAAGTCTCTACCCTGCTGGGTTCTAATCATCTCCATTGAAATCAGGGAGCCCATTTCAACAGAAGAATCTCTAAGTTTTTCCCCAGCTTACACAGGACATCTGCTGTAGCACTTTTCAAAAATACTGGTTCTCCCATATACAGTGTATTTCTCTAAGCCAAGGTGAAGGGAATATCCCCTGGGCCCTCTTGGGGGACATAGTTAGGGGTGGGCGAGCAGGTTGATAAATTAACAACAGCCTTTTTGTTCTAAGTTGTTGGATTCCTTACTTCACATTACACCAAGGAATTTCTGGCATCTCAACTTTGTTTAGTTTTGGCCACATTTGAGTCTAGGTTTTAGTCAAGCAGTTGAGCAAATAATTTAGAATCATCTGCAGCTGCTTGAGTTAGCACTGTGAATCAAAAATTTCTGATGAGTATCTAAATTTAGCCCAATTTAAATCATGATCCTTTTTCTCTCTGGTCTAGCAGTTTTAGAATCTCTTTTACTACATGGTCCCAAGGTTTTCCCTCTATAAATTAACAAAATGTGGCTGTCCTTTTAACAGAACAAGCAAGATTTTAAGTGTAGGTTTATTTATATGTCTGGAGGTAATGAGGGATGGAAGGGAGCAGTCATGGTAGTATCTTTAAGCAAGATAGCCCCAGTCTTATTGGATAGAGGAGGGCTGCCTCTGCTGGTATAGGAACTCAGTAGCTTCTAGGGTGTTTCTGTTATTTGAGTCATCCCACGTGTCCCCGTTTAAATTCTTGGATCTTGCTCTTTCACAATCAATGCCTTCTGCTGCTGCTAGCCAGGATGAAGTAACTGGTACTAGATCTACCCTCTTGCTTTAAACAATTATTGCAGTTATTATTGCTGTGTAACAAAACCTACTCAAAACAGTGGCTTAAAACGAACACCAATTGTTTGTTTCTGTCTCGTGACTTCTGTGGAACAGGAATTCAGGAAGAGCTTGACTGGGCAGTGGCTTGGGATCCCTCACGCCCTTGCACTCAGATGGTGGCTGGAGCTGGGACAGCAGGGGCTGGGATAGCCGGGGATTGGCTGGGAAACTCTCTCTCCTCATCTAATCATGTGATTTCTCTACATGAATTAGCTTGGGCTTCTGTACAGTGTGGTCTCGGAGCCGTAGGACTACTCACATGGCAGTTCAGGGCTCCAAGCGAGTATTCCAAGAGAACAAAGCAGAAGCTGAATGGCCTTTTATGACCCAGCTTTGAAAGTCACACAGTGTTACTTTTACCATAGTCCCAGGCTCACCCAGAGCAATCAGGAAAGAATAATAAAATGATGTATAGCTAAAAGCCAATAGAGGAAATAAAATGGAAGACTAAAGCATATTTGATTAATCCAATGAAATGCCTTAACTTTCACATAGAACTAGTGAAAGTGAATTCATCCTATGTTGTACTTCAGGAATCCTGCAGGAACAGTGTCTATCTACATTTGATTTTGGCTGTACCAGCTTGGCAGCTACAAGGGAAAATAAATTATTTTAGATAATCATAGAAATTCCCTGGTTCTCTGACCTTGAGGATTTGAAATACTGAGTGCCATTTTCTTTCTTTGAGCTGTCTGGTGAACTTGGAAGCAGCCAACTTACCTCACAGTTGTATCCCCTCATAATGCCCTATCCCTCAATACACGAAGCCTTGCATTAGGTCAGTGCTTTAGTCTAAGTTACCACAGATGATAGTATAAGCAATTCTTTCATCACTGGATGCCGTGGACTACCAGTGTTTCACCCCTCCTCGTCACTAACAGCCTGTCTTCAAATCCAACCAGATCAGACACCAATCACAAATTTCCATTTCCTCCAGGGATACATTGCCCACAATCACTTCTGTACCCAGTTACTATAATGGTCATTGCTTAATTGCAGACCACAGAATCCACTGAAACTGCCCAAAGCAGAAAGGAATTTATTAAGTTGAGTTAGCCTTCCGAATTTCTGGGATGGTGTGGGAATCCATACTGTCAGTGCCAGGCTGTCAAGAGAAATGCCTTCAATCACACTGTAGGATCCTTTCAGCAAAAATTCTGCTGCAGCTATAGTCTGTTATACATAACTTTGGTTGAATACATCTCTTTATAGGTGACTACTTTGTAGAGTTTTGGTTAGAAACACTAATATTAATAAGTATTACATTATGTGTGAATACAGGAATTACATCAATTATATTCTAAAACTTCATGTTTGTTTTTGGCATTTGAGACTTAGAATTATTTTCCCTTAGAAACTTTTATAAATTCTGGTTCTATTTTCAGACTCGGCCTAAAAGCATATAGATAACCCATGCTGTATCAGAAATACAGAAACACCAACATTTAAAGACATTTTTGGAAGCACAGCCCTCTTTTAAAACATTTCACAAAAATTAGACTGCCTAAGAATTATAGATATGTCCAACGTAAAGAAAATCAAATATACAGACTTGCAGATTGCCAACTCATGGACGTTAGGGACTTTAAAGCCTCATTGTAGCTACTAAAGGATGGCTTTCCTGGATATCTACGTCCATTTTGGCAGTGGATGACACCATCTTAGCATTGTGGACAACACCACTGCTGTTTACATGAAAGTGTGCATGTGAGCATGCAAAGTCGACCTACTACTGTGCTTCTTGCTCTCCTCTAGAGTCAGGTCTAGTGTTGGCAAGTTTTATCTGTGAGGTAAGATGTAGTTTGGTTAAGAGGTAGATTTTTAGCAATGCCTATTACATTGTACCCTCCCCCTTCTTTTATTAATTTCTCAGCAATCCTAGGCTCCCCAACCATACCATTTTAAAAAAGGAAAAACACACTTTTCAGTGTTGCTGGGTAGAGGTGAATTAAAGGCTCTGCTCTAACAAATGGTCACAGTGGTGACACCTGGAGCAGGAACTGGGGCACCAAATGGATCCACCTGATACCGTGAAGTAAGCCTCTCCCTAATGCCTTTCCTTGAGGATTCCCAGAGAGCCAGCCAGTAAAGCAGCATTCGCCTCTTATTCCTTGTTCTTCTCTTTTACTTGTACCATAGAGGCATACCTCTTTTTATTGTGCTTTGCTTTATTGCATTTCACAGATACTGCATTATTTTTACAAATTGAAGGTTTGTGGCAACCCTGTGTTGAGCAGGTCTGTTGGTGCCATTTTTCCAACAGCACGTGTTCACTTCATGTCTCTGTGTCAGCATTTTTTAACAGTATTTTTTAATTAAGGTATGTATATTGTTTTTTTAGACGTAATGCTATTTCACACTTAACAGACCTACATTATAGTGTTAACACACTATATATGCACTGAGAAAAACTCTGTGTGACTTGCTTTATTGTGATGTTTGCTTTGTGTGGTGGTCTGAACCCAACCTACAGTGTCTCCAAGATATGCCTGTATTTGTTTTCTGTTGGTCCTCTCTTATTCAGCCCGTGTCCTACCTGCATGAAATAAGCAAGTAATTTCAAACATTCAAAATTAGCGTTTGGATTGTATGAAATAAAAGATGTATATGTGCAAAAAAATAGCCATTAATCACCATTAAGCAATTTCATTATTTCTGTGGTTTCTAGGCAGAAGAAATCCTTAGGCAAGAGCTGGAGAAAAAAGAAACACCAAGTTTATACTGCTTGCTTGGAGATGTCCTTGGAGACCACGCTTGCTATGACAAGGCCTGGGAGTTGTCCTGGCACCGCAGTGCCCGTGCTCAGCGCTCCAAAGCCCTCCTTCATCTTCGGAACAAGGAGTTTCAAGAGTGTGTGGAATGCTTCGAACGCTCAGTGAAGATTAATCCCATGCAGGTTAGACATTTCGCCTCCCCACTCCCCACTCTTGGCGCTTGCATTCTTCTGTGGATTTGATCTTACTGAATGAGTCCCCATTTTCTATCCTGATGACTGATGAGCTTGCCTTTCAGAGCTACGAACTTAGTCCCTAATGTTCTTCTTGCTTGTCATCAAAAGTGGACAGGTAGGTTTTCTCTTATTCACTTTCTGTTGCTTTAAATTTTCTGTTTTGTTTTGGTATATCTTTTTCTTATCTGTCCTAAACTCAAATAAGGCTATTAAAATTAGG